TTGTCAGCTACCTTCATTCACTTTAGTATAATGAATATTTTCTTGTTTGTGGATTTCACTTTCAGGCTGGCTTTTCAGACACACTGAGGTAATAAGCAAGCCAAGTCCTAACCCTTAGTGAGCTGCAGAGCTGCCCACACTCACTCATTCTAAATGGATACTGAACATCAATTCCATGCCAGGCTGTGCTGGGGCTGTGAATGGGACTCTGTGATAAGGGCTGAGGAGACAGTTTGCATGGGGTTCTAGGAGGCCTAGCAATGGATAGCTGCCCACCCACCTTCCCATCTCTCCTTAGCCAGGGCTTCCTGATGTAGAGAGGGTATAAAGGAGGACAGAGTGGGGGACAAGGAGGGCCTGGCATGAGGGCAACTTTGATGCCACATGGCTGAGCTGTGCCTGTGTTTGACTTAATAGTTGGGACATTGGGCCATGGCAGAGGCCAGCCGAGGAGCCAATGGTAAGCTGTGGGAAACGGGTGGGTGGCTTCTCAAAGGCTTTAGCAGAACTACCATGTGGCCAGAAGTCCCAGGCCTAGGCGTGTCTGTATAAGAGCAGAGAATGGGGGCTTCCCAGTGGGTATCTGCATACCAAGCTCATAGCAGCATTGCTCGCTATAATAACCCACGTGTCCAGTGGTGGAGGAATGGGTGTACAGCAAAATGGGGTGTAGAAAAACAGTAGAATGTTATTTACCCACAAGAGGATCGATATTTTGATGCACAGAACACAACTGGACCTTGAAAACGGTCTGCTAAGTGAAATAAGCTAGACACAGAAGACTGAAAGTTTATGATTCCTCTTAATGAAGAACCAAGAAAAGCAAATTCACAGAGCCAGAGATCAGAGTAGAGGGGCTTGAACTCAGGGCCTGGGTGCTGTCCTTGAGCTTTTTCACTCAAGGCTAGCACTCTACCACTTTGGGCCACAGTGCCACATCTGGTTTTCTGGAAGTTAACTGGGGATAAGAGTCTCATGGACTTTCCTATCTGGGCTGGCTCAGATAGGCTGGCTCAGTTCTCAGCCTTCTGAGTAGCTAGGATTATAAGCATGAGCCACAGGCACACACTCCTGTAAATGCATTGATTGCCTCTGTAGAACACACACAGTGACTATTGTGAGTTTTCAGGTGGGTCCTTTGCAGCCACTATCTGCCATCATGTTGAAGATGGTTGCAGAGATGGTGAGGGAGGCCCTAGGGGAGACTGTGTTTAATACAGTGGGAATCCCACAGTGGCTGGAAGAAAAGGAAACCTCTCTACTTTCTGAGCTACTTCATTTGTAAGATAGGAGATGGTGTCTGCTCCTGCTGAGAGATCAGAGAAGCTTATATCCATCCAGGTGCTTAAAATACTACAGGAAATGACACCTAGAATAGCACATTAATACTGCTGAAAAACAATGGTGGTCAATGGCAGAGATAGGGAAGGAAACCTCTCTCAGTTTCTCTGACTTAGACAAACTTTTCACAAAATGCGATCACCCACATCACCTGTGTATGGACAGGTGTGGGTGGCAATGGCGTTCTCCCCCTTGGCAGGCCCCCAGGGTGAGACTTTTGTGCATAATGGCGCTGCTTCTCATGAATAACCAGATTCCAGTCAAGGGTGTTCTCTTCAAGGAGTCCTCATTGCACAGCTGCTGAGTGTCACAGCAAAGCTGGGCTTCCCAAGGGAAGAAAAACAGTGTCCTGCCAGCAAGATGACGCCACTGTCTTTTCAAGACGAAACCAGGAACCAGCTGTTATGGAGATTAACTGTGCGTCCAGATGTGCTATTGAAGGCCCACAACAAATCCTGATTATATGCTGCAAAACAACAGCAGCTGCTGTGGTCTGGGCTGGTCAAGGTTTAGATCTGGCTTCTGAGAAGAGAAAGGGAGAAGGATCCAGGGGTCTTCCAAGCCCAGGCACATGGTACCTTATGGTGCATGCCATGAGATGGGGCTTGGGCTGTGCAGCCCTCATTGAGTGTCAAGACATGCAGCTTGTGGAGTCACAGCCAGGACTCTCTGAGCTGGGAAGCTGCAAAGAAACCATTGTTTGAGACTCCTCACTTCACAGCTGGGGCCCCCGGTTTTATATGGCTGTAATATATTCACGAGAGTTGGTAGGGACGGGGAGTCAGAGTTGGAGCCAATGTCTGCTGTCAGCCTCGGTGGGCTGGGTCTGAGTGAACGTGTGGCAGTGGTCTTTTATTTTCTTTGTGGGTGTCAGTCTTGGGTTGCTCTCCAGCATCTGCCGGTGACATGTTTGTTCCTATCAACTCTAACCCTTACCACTTATGGGGTGCACTTCAGCTGCCACCAGAGGCCTCCCATCCCCAGTGGTAGAAACCCAGCAGGGGCTCAGTCTGTTCTGACTGGAGTGGGTGTGGCCAGCTGGGCTGTGGACGGCTCTATAGGAAGGACCTTCCTGGGACAGAGCAGGGGAGGGAGGAGACACTGTGAGAGGGCTGACGGTGGACCTCACCTCTCTGTCTCAGATGCTGCTTAACCTGAGGGGGGGCCGCAAGTAGGTCCAGAGACAGCCAGTTTTCTGACCTCGCTGGGATGGTCCCCAGTGCTGATAGGGTCCACTGAGAAATAAACCTTCCAGAGCCATAAGCGGTGGCCATCTCTTGCCATGACATTTCCTCCTGCTACATTAGCTAGCATTATAGATGTGAGCCACTGTTCCCAGCTGAGACAGTGATATCGATGCCTGGGATAACTGGGCTATAACTAGCACCGCATCTTAGAAGGCGGCAGCTTTCTAAACTATAAGAACTCTGATTTGAACCTTCTTAAATGCACAGCAGCTACTATAGGAGGCACTGAGCTGTCTGTCTCTGGGAGAGTTCAAGTAGACCTTAGAAGATTTCTTGGTGGGGTTCATTCATCTACCCATTTGTCATCCATTCAATCATCAAGGCAGGTAGTTCTTGTGGGGGTGACTCCACAAAAGGGGGTACGTAAAGGATGGGGAAGTCAGCCAGGGTAGGAGAACCACCAGGAAATGTGTACAGCCAGGCAAGTCATCACTCTAGTGTCTCAAAGCTGCAGCTGGATAGTTCTGGGACCTAGTGTGGGCTGGGTCCCTTGGTTAGGCCTTGGATGAACTCTCACCAGGTTGATGGATTTCTGGGCTGAGTAAGGCAGAGGCACTGACCTCCAGCACTTCTGGGGTGAGGGATAGACAAGAGCCTGGCAGTCAGGGAGGAAGTTTCAGGTAGATTAATCCAAGCAAGAGATGTTGGTGGCCAAGCAGAAGTGCTGTGGTCCTGAAGACCGGGGGACAAATAAGTATGTTGCACCTCTTGGAGACAGATGCGAGGGGATGGCAGACATTACAGAGAGGATGGGAGTGACTGGTGACCAGGGGAGGAGAGTCTAGTGTCTCAAAGGTGCAGCCATCCACCCCTTGTCCAGCTCCCCCTCCCCCTTTCATTCTTCCCTCCCTCCCACAGTCTGTTTTCAGTTCACACATATCACAGGCATCGGCTCACTGTCCCAGTTTGTCAGCAGCTCAGCAGAGACACTAGCACAGCCCCCAGAGACCACGAAGGTATGTGCAGGGCCTGTGCTAACCACTTCAAAACAAGTGCTGGGCTGATGCCAGTACTGATCCCTGGACAATGGGTGTAAAAATGAGACCATCTGTTGTATGAGGGGACCTGGGAGGGCCCCCCCACAACCCTTGCTCTGTGCCCATGCCCTGCCGAGTGGAGGGGAGGAGATGGGGATAGTTGGTGGTGCTTCTAAAGACATGGGCCTCACAGGGTAGGATAAGAGTCAGGTTTGAATGAACTACAGTTGGTGAAGATTTCATTGCCAAGAATATTGACTGGGTACCTCAGATCATCAGGATGGCTGCACAGCCTGAGCCTCTGGGAGCAGTGTTCCCAAGTAATGCCTAGAAGGGTCCCTGCCCTGTCCCCATCCCCCAGGATGCCCTGATGGGGACACTGCTGTGAACTCCTTGTTCCTGTGACCTGGAAAAGCCCTGCACAGTCTCACCCACAGCCCGGTAGCTCTTGCCCCAGAAACTCGCACGGAAATCACACGGTTGGCTCCAGATTCTAAGTATTATATTCTCTCTCTCCTCTCTGTCTGTGTCTCTCCTCTTTCTCTTCTCTTTCTCCTCTTTCTCTTCTCCTCTCTCTCTTTCTCTCTCTCTCCAGTACTGGACTTTGAACTTGGGCCTTGTGCTTGCTAGGCAGGTGTTCTACCACTTGAACCACCTTCCTAGTTATTATTATTACTACTGTTGTTATTGTTATTATTTTTTTGTCAGTCATGGGGCTTGAACTCTGGGCATGGGCGCTGTCCCTCAGTTCTTCAGCTCGAGGTGAGCACTCTATCACTTGAGCCACAGCACCACTTCTGGTTTTCTGGTGGTTTATTGGAGATAAGGGTCTTATGGACTTTCCTGCCTGGGCTGGCTTTGAACTGCGATCCTCAGATCTCAGCCTCCTCAGTAGCTAGGATTACAGGTGTGAGCCACCTGTGCCTGGCTATTATTATTATTATTATTTTGCTTTAGTTTGTTTTTCATGCTAACTTACCCTGGACCAGCCTCAGATGGGGATATCCCCACCTCTACCTCTTAAATAGCTGGAGTTACAAGCATGCACTCTGGTGCCTAGCCATTCCTCCTGTTACCAGCTTTTTGAGATACCCCAAGCTGGCTTCAAACTTGAGATTCTCCCACCTCAGCTTCCTGAGAGTGCTGGGATTACAGACATGCACCACCATACCCAGTCTTTCATCCTTTTCAGCAATATTATTTTGGTGCTATCTATGGCTTTGGACATGCAGCTCAGCCTTTGTTTCCTAGGGGCATTCTTGAGCTGCTGGGGTTTGTTCTGCCTGTGCCTTTGGTGGAATAGGAGTTTTAGGGGAGGGGAATTAACAGCCACCTCCGGGACCCTTTACCCAGTAACTGGGAGATGCAATAGCAGGACTCCAGCTTCCTGGAGCCCACTGGGATAATTCCATCCTCTTCTCTGTCCACTCTACTATATGGTCAGCATCACTTGTATTTATTGGTCCTCTATCAAGCAGTGTACAATTTATCTGAGAGGCAACAGAGAGGGCAGACAGAGCCACTAGAGAAGAGGGGTTAGATCAAGTATATTGAAGAGCTTGGGGCTGCAAACAGAGGGTCTAAAGAGATGAGCATCATCTAAACAGCCTAGTGAGAATGGCTTCCCTCCTGTCTGCTAGCTGGCTCCCCGCCAAGGCTGTGGTCTGTGCAGAGGTGATCAGCTGATCTGAAGATGTTACAGGCTGATACAATTTGGACAAGGAGATTTGGGGCCGAACCTGTGGACTCCGCTACCTCAATGAACAATGTCTGAGCCTCAGATTTCCCCTAACGGGACTATGAAGACAGTCCAGTTGGCAGCATGCAGTGCATGCGCCCAAGCCTTCTGGTCCTCTCAGAGATCATTGTGGTCACCACACGGCCCCACTGCGGTTTCCTGGAGGCTCCCCCAATAGCCCTTGGGGGGCATACTCCAGGCAGGTTCCCCCTGCCAGGTGGGGCAAGCATGTGGCCTGGTAGAGGAATTTCAGGTGACCGTGGCTCAGGTGGCAGTTCTCCTTGTGGAAGCCAGATTTCAGAGACCAGTCACACGAGCCAAGCAAGTCATCATCCCAGCCATGGTCTGCATCCCAAACCTGCACCCTCAGGGGCCCCCCAGTGGCTAGAAGCACATCCCCAAAGTCCAGCTGGGTCTCCCATTTGGGGTTGTTATTGTTCCAAACTGTGTGGGTCCTCAGCTCCTGGCCCCCAAAGAAGACTTTTACATAAGCATCAGTGGCAGTAGTTGTGTCTCCCCATAACCCGTGAGCTTGGATGATGGTTACCCGCAGCCAGGCCAGGCCCCTCTGGCGTGGACAGCAGTCGTGGTTGGTGGCCACAGAGCTGTGGCACACACACTGGCATGGGTTCCGGTGGCTCTTCTGCTTTCCCGGTGGGCAAGGCCTGTTACAGTCTCTCCAGCGAGCCCTGCTCATCAGGTACTGGCTCAGGGCCTGCCTCAGTGCCTCTCGCCTTGGGTCCTGGCTCTCCACCAGGATGTGCAGGGGCTCCAGGCTGTAATTCACCAAGTCAGGGCTCCCAGGCAGTGAGGCCAGCCAGGCTGAGAACTGCTCAGGCGTAGCCTTGTTCCCAAACAGCAGGTCGGTCACGGAGGTGTGTTCACCACCAACCACTTCATTGTGGCGCTCATGGTAGAACTGGTGGAAGGAAGTGTCCAGTTTGTGTCTCTTCTTTTTCTCCTCACAGGCCTTGTATGCGGATGAGGAGCTGGCATGGCCCTCGATGCTGACCTGGGCCTCAACAGTCAGGCAATCTTCCACCTCATCAGTGGTGAGCCCATCCAAGGCCAGCTTGCAGGTGCGCAGGGCTGTGAGGGACGTGATGCGGCCACCCAGATCCACGGCCCGGATGAAGTGGGTGCCGTAGGCATTGATGAGGCCATGGTAATCAGACTCGGTGGAGGCATTAAAGTAGGGGGGCAGGTTCCTGAGAGCCTTCCTGAAGTCAGGGTGCAGTGGGGGCATATGCACCAAGTGAAAACTGCAGGGAGAGAAGATTGTTAGATGGACCCAGGGTTGAGTAGTATGTTCCCTGTTCCAGAGCTCCTTCAGCTGGGTGCCAGTAGCTCATGCCTGTAACCCTAGCTACTCAGAAGGCTGAGATCTGAGGAGCATGATGTGAAGCCAGCCTGGATAGGAAAGTTCCTGAGAACTTTCTCGTTTTTAATTAGCCATCCAAAAGTCAGAAGTGGAGGTAGAGCTCAAATGGTAGAGCGCCCGCTGAGCTCAAGTCTCAGTCCTAGTGAAAAGGAAAAGAAGAATGCTAGATCAATGAAACAATGAGATCCAGAGAGGAAAATTGAGTTGCCCAAGGTCACACAGCAGTGAGGAGGAAGGACCAAGCCAAGTCTCTTGTCTCTGTCCCTACCCAGAAAGGACCCCAAGGGAACTATATCTAAATAGCAGCCCTGTGGGGCTCTCAGGCAGTCTGGCTCACATCCCCCGTGCTGGTCTGTTATTGGAGCCTTTTGGATTTGGGCCCTTATGGAGATAGGAGTCCATAGGCTGCCCTCACCTGAGTGCAGGCGCTTACCTGTACAAGCGACACTCTACAGTGTCGGTGCTGAAGCTGTACTGGTCCTGCAGGGCCTTCTGGGCTGCGAAGTCAGCTGCTTGGGAATGGGAGCCAGCCACAGACACATGCACATTCGTGATGGGCTTGAGATTCACGTCCAGCCCCACCTGCCAGTTATTGCTGATGCTGGCTGCTGCCCCCTTGGCCACATCCTCAGTGGAGCTGGCTTTGACCTTGGCCACATGATGCTGGCAGCCTGAGCTGTGGGCACGCCAGTGGGTGAGTGCCAGGGGCAGGCGCTGCAGGGCACCCCTCTGCAGGGCGTTTTTACAGAGTGTGCAGGTGCCGTCAGGCCGCAGGAACCTCTGTGTGTCTACAGGGAAGGAGCGTGAGCGGCGGAGGGTGGTCACATCCACACCTTCCCCAGCCAGCCAGGCACCAGGCACGAACTTGTGGTGCTTCTTACACTCTGAACGAGCTGCTGTGTAGCAGGGAGCTGGGGCAGGTGATGGCAGTAGCAGGAGAAGGGCCAGGAGGAGCAGGTGCGTGGCCATGGAGCTGCAGGCTCTCTGGGCGCTCTGGAAAGCTGTGGGCAGAGGGATGGAAGATGCCTGACTTCTCCTGTCACAGTGATTTCTCAGAGAGAGGGACTGACTTTGATGGTTGCCATAGGGCTAAGAGTTATGAGTTAGGGTTGCCTGGTAGTTCTTTGGAAAGTTTTACAAATCCTTTTACATCTAAAATACTATAAGTTAATTTTTTTAAAATAAGAAAATGGTTGAGAATATAAATTGTAACAAAAGCCATATCCTGACTAATCTAGCTGTTTCTTCTCGAAGATTTAGAACAACCCTATGATCTACCTTGTGAGACTCCTATGTATCCAATTTTGCCTTTGAAAGTTCCCACTACAACATCCCAACTACAACATTGTGGTCCAGTAAATCTATTGTTGCTACTGTTCAATACAAACTAAGTTGTGTTCACATGTAATTAAACACAATAGGACACTGGGTGGCCTATGGAAGAGACTTTTCAATTCTAAGTTCAAGGCTTAATATGTCCATATTTTCCTGTTCAAGTAGACATTCTATTGAAAGAAAAAAATTCCAAGCAGGGGGAAAAAGGAGAGGGACTGAAATTCTCTTAAGTCAATGAATGGCAGGGCTGGCTTGTCCCTCATAGGCATGGTCAAAACCCTATTTCGCACAGATGGTCCGAGTCATGGAGCCAAGAGGAGCCCTTTTCTAGTATTTTACTATCTAAGCCTCCTGGGTATCTAGAATGATGGCTTTGTCCCTAGGACACACTGTTGTTGGAGGAGAGGTATCTGGTTACTTAACAAGGGGTAGAGGCTTAGGGGAGAGCCTGGGGTTCAGGGGATGCCTAGGTTCTGGAGAAGTGTCATTTTGAACCCCAGATCAGATCACCCTCTTCCCACCTGATGCTTAATCTGTTTCTGTCTCTAGCTCTGATCTGTTTCTCCCACTGAGTTATGGGATGGGGAAGGAAATGAGATTGTGCTGTGCCCTGACTCCCTCGATTCTCCTTGGGGGTCTCCTCTGGGCCTGAACTGTGAAATGACTGGAAGCTGGGGTGAGCCATTGCCCTTGCCCTGGGCTCTGGTGAGGAGGGATCTTTAGGTTTTGTCTGGTGCTCAGGTCTCCTCTTCGGCATTGCCTGCCAGACTTGGTGACTCCTGCCAGTGGCAGAGACCTTTCCAGTCCTTTCCATCACCCCCTTGGGAGGCTCACACTGTTGGCAGTTGTAGCCCAGTGAATTCAGGCCTTCTTGGCATCCTCTTATTGTTCCAGGGAGCCTATCTCCACCCCAAGCTGATCTCAGACTCGCCGTTCTTCTGGGTGCTAGGATTACAGGGGCGTGCTACCACACTTAGCCTGTTTCCAGCTTCTTAGGACCCTTTAGCTGTCAGCACTTGAGGGGACCTTTGGGACTGTGTCCACTTATACACAAGGATGCCCAGTGACACACAGTGACAGATGGAAGACCAGGGCTGTCTGAGTCCCAGGCTTCTTGTTTTAGTGTCAGGCACTTCTTGTTCTATCAGACTCTTCCCTTCAGACAGCCCCACTTCCTGTAGCCCAGGGGTCCCCAGCCTCTCTGGCCCCTGCCAGCTTCCTCCTTACCTGGAGTCCTATGGGATGGGCAGCTCTCACCCCAGCCTTGCTCCTCACCCCGGGCTCCTGAAATGGTGGTGACAGTCACCAGGCTGGCCCACCCCACCAGGGCCACATTCAAGTCAACTTCTGCTTCCTGCCCCGCCTCCAAACTGTGGCCACAGGTCCCACTAGCACCCACCCTCCTCACCTCCTCATCCGGCCCTGAGACAGGCCTCAGGAAGCAAGCTACAGGGTCCCAAGGGTCATCTGCCACACAGCTGTCCTATGGGGACAGTTTTCATGGGTGGAGTGACTCACAGAACATCTTCTAGAGTCAAAGAAAGAACCGCACTGGTTCTGGGTGGGGACAAGTTGGCAAGTGGTGAGGGGGGCTGTGTCTCGACACCTCCAAGGGCGTCAGTGATGGGAACAGGTGACCACATGTGACACCACATGTCAGGGGTCGCCTCTCAAGGCTCATCCTTTCTGGGTCCCTACTCTTCCCAGAACTAGGGCTTGGGTAGTCTTCTCAGAACCTGGCTCCCTCATCTCTTCCTGGTCTCCCTTAAATCACAGCTTCCTGGGTCTTTCAGTCCCTGACTGTGGCCTTAACCTCTGGAAAGTGGAGGCTGGGAGGGAAGGTAGGTAGTCTCAGACCTGCCAGGAAAGCCAGTGTGAGCCATGTTAATCCTAGCTTGCATCAAGCAGCTTGTGAATAGCTGGTGTCTGGCAGATGGGGCCGGTGAGGGACCACGGGAGAGCATTTACAGCTGTGCTCAGCTGTGTTCAGTTGGTGGTGATATGTGTTTGATGTGTGCCCAGTGTTTCCTTAGAGACACAAGTTGCCACAAGTGTACATGTTTGATTACCAGACTATACCTGGAGTTTTTTGTGTATGTGTGCCAGTACTGGGACTGGATCAGGGCCTTTGGCTTTCCCATGACTTTTTCACTTAAGGTCAGACCTCCACTTCTAGCTTTTTGCTGGTTAATTGGAGAGAAGAGTCTCATGGGCTTTTGTGCCCTGGCTAGCCTCAAACTTTGATCCTCAGATCTTAGCCTCCTGAGTAGCTAGAATTACAGGCATGAGCCATGGGGGACCAGCTGTGTGCAAGTTTTATGTGGATGTATGATTTTTTTTGTCTTAGATTTATACCTAGGAATGGAATTGCTGGTTAACACCAGGTTTTACTTTTCGGGGAACTGCTTGCCAAAGTGGCTACAGCTTTTCATGTTGTTGCCAGCAGTGCATGAGGATTTTAGCTTTTCTCCTTATTACCTGCCCTTAATACCATCTGTATTTTTTGTCCTATTATCCTAGTGGGATTGTAGTAGTAGCTCATGATGGCTTCGATTTGGATTTTCCCAATGAGAAATAAATGCATGGTTTTTCATGTAATGATAGGACTGAAAAAAAAACTTCTTTGGAGAAATGTCTCCCCTTTTTTTTTTTGGTGGCGTGGGGTTTGAACTCAGGGCCTTTCAGACAAGTGATCTACCACTTAAGCCACTCTCTCAACCTTTTTGCTTTAGTTATTTTTTGGATGGGGTCTCATGCTTTTTGCCTCGGTGGGATTCAGACCAATTTTCTAACTTACACCTTCCACGTACTGACCTCCCACATGCCACATTCTCCTTGCCTTCCTGTGTCCTTTTTTGTGTGTATGCCAATACTGAAACTTGAACTCAGGATCTGATGAGCTCTCACTTGGCTGGACCTTTACCAACTGAGCCACACCTCTACTTCTGACTTTTTCCTGGGTAATTGGAGATAAGAGTCCCTAGAGCCTAGCTGAGACTTGACTGTTTATATCTCTCCAAAATTCATGTGAAGATTCAATCCCAGAGTGACAGAGGGTGAGTCTGGTCAAGGTCCATGACATGCATACATGGACATGTCAAAAGGAAGCCCTTTTGTACAGCTAACTGATGTTAATAAAAAATATGGCCAGGTGCTGGGCACTGGTGACCTATCATCCTAGATACTCTGGAGGCTGAAATCTAAAGATTGAGGTTACAAGCCAGCCAGGGCAAGAGACCAAGAGTCTCTTAGGCTCTTATCTCCAGTTAACTACCAGAAACAAAAGCCAGAAGTGGAGCTGTGGCTCAAGAGGTAGAATGCTAGCCTTTAACAAAACAACTTAGACACAGTACCCAGGCCCTGAGGTCAAGCCCCAAGACTGGCACACACACACAAAAATTGGCTGGGCACCAGTGGCTCACACCTATAATCCTAGCTACTTAGGAGTCTGAGATCAGAGGATTGAGGTTGGAAAGGTAGCCCAGGCAGGAAAGCCCTCAAGACTCTTATCTCCAATAAATAACAACAACTACAAAAAAGAGTCAGGGGGCTGGGAAGGTGGCTCAATGGTAGAGTGCATGCCTTGCGTGCATGAGGCCCTTGAGTGTGATTCCTCAGCACCACATAAACAGAAAAAAGCCGGAAGTGGGTCCTGTGGCTCAAGTGGTAGAGCGCTAGCCTTGAGCTAAAGCACTGAGGGACAGCGCCCAGGCCCAGAGTTCAAGCCCTACAACTGACCAAAAAAAAAGAAAAAGAAAAGGAGTCAGAAGTAGAGTTGTGGCTCCTAGCTTTGAGCAAAAAAGCTCAGGGCCAGGGCCTGAGTTAAACCCCAGGACACTCTCTTTCTCTGTCTCTGTCTGTCTGTCTGTCTGTCTGTCTGTCTGTCTGTCTGTCTCTCTCTCTCTCTCTCACACACACACACACACGAGGAAAAAGGACTTACTTCCTAACTTTGTAGTGAGGAATGGAGGGCTGCTGCTCCTAAATTAATGATAAACAGACTGCAGGGGGCCTGTTCTTTTCTGTCCTCTCCCCGTTCTGCTGAGTGAGGACCCAGCAGTGCAGGGCCATCTGTGGAGCCCTCTGCAGCTACTGAACCAGGCCTTGATCTTGGGTGTCCAGCCCCAGAACTTTGAGTCTATTTTATTACTTACAAATTACCCGTTGCTATGGTTTGAATGTTTGCTTCTCAGAAATAATGTGTTGGAAACGTAATCTTCAAAATCACATATTAATGGTATTTGTGAGGTAACTAGAATTAAATAAGGTCATCAGGGCGGAGTCCTCATGACTGCACTAATGACTTTATAAGCAAAGGAGCCACCAGAGCTGATTGGCTTGCTCTGTCTTGCCTTGTAATGCCTCTGCCAGGTGAGAATACAACAAAAACAAACTTTCACTAGATGCCGAGCAGATACCAACATCATTAGGGCTTCCCAGGCTCTGCCATGAGCTAGCCAAATTAACTTCTGTTCCTTATAAGGTTCCTGGTCTTGGTATTTCATTACAGTAACATAAAATGGACTAAGACACTAGTCTAGAGAATTCTATTACAGAAGCAGGAACAGAGTTCTTACTCTGTTTTCTTCAACCAATTGTAAGAAGTGTGCCTGCCACCTAAATCACAAACATGAACAATGATGAAGGAGTCTTTTAGCAAACAAATGTTCAGATCATTATGAAGGTACCTATGCTAATATCCACAATGCAGCCATTGACGGTGTTTTCTTCACTCAGTGGTACTTCCTTGATTCGGTTTTCTTGATATGTTTATGAAATTTAGGCTTTTCCTCCTCCTTCCTTATAAGTCACCCATAGCCCTGCTCTTATTCCCCATACTCTCATAAAATGCACTGAACAACTCCAGTTTTCTCATTCTATGGAGTTTTGATTAAGCCCATATCTTCAGAAGTTACCGCTTTAGCAGAATCTCTCTCTCTCTCTCTCTCTCTCTCTCTCTCTCTCTCTCTCTCACACACACACACACACACAGGCATGCACACACAAGTTTTGGCAAGAGATTTGTTTTTCTTCTTTACTAGTCTATCTAAAATTTCACACTGTGGGCTCGAAGTTGTTAATAATGTTTTTGGCCTGTCTTTAAAACAAATTTCTTCTGAACCACACTAGTGGTTCAACCTCGTTTTGATCATAGATTTAAAAAAATGGTTTTTCTTTTTTGTTTCTGGAACAGTCTTGTTCTAGAATATATTGTAGTAATGTTTCAAAGAACCTATTCTTGGCTTTACTCATGCTCTGTATTGCAGCATTATTTTCCATTTTATTTCATTTGTGTCCTTTTCTTCTTTCTTTTTTCCTCCCTCAATTCTTCAGGCTTTTTCTATTCTCTCTCTCTCTCTCTCTTTTAATTGATCATGGGGCTTGAAATCAGAGCCTGAGAGCTGTCCCTGAGCTCTTTTGCTCATGGCTAGTGCTCTACCACTTTGACCCAAGCTCTACTTCTGGTTTTTTGGTGCTTAATTAGAGATAAGAGTTTCACAGACTTTCCTGCCTGGTCTGGCTTTGAATTGTGATCCTCAGATCTCAGCCTCCTGAGTAGCTAGGATTACAGGTGTGAGCAAGTGGCAGTACCCAACTTTTATTCTTTTTCTAATTTCTTGCAATGAAGTCATTAGTCAATAACTTTCAAGAAGCATTGGAAAGAGATACTCTACCTTGTTCTCTAAGAAGCTTAAGTTTAGCATGTAATTTTTCCAACAGTGCCTTATTTTTAAAATTCTCTCTCTCCTCCCCTTTTTTGTGTGTGCCAGTACTGGGGCTTGAACTCAGAGCCTTGGCACACTGTCTCTTAGCTTTTTTACTCAAGGCTGGCACTTTACCACTTGAGCCACAGCTCCACTTCCAGCCTTTTGACAATTAATTGGGTATAAGGGTCTCAAGGACTTTTCTGCCTGGATTGGCTTCGAACTGCACTCCTCAGATCTCAGCTTCCTGAATAGCTGGATTACAGGCATGAGGTAATGGCATCTGACTCTATTTGTTTTATTTCAGAACATTCGGGTAAGTATAGCAACCACCAGTTCGTTCACAGTGTTAGATGACAAGGGACATATTTTCCTGTTTGAATGCCAGGATGTAAGCCTGTGGTGAATTCACAGCACTCACACATTCATGCACACAATATTTTCACATTCGATCAGCCCAACAGAAGCAGTGAGATAAGGGCTTGTATAACACCCTTGCTTTGAAGTTCACCTCATTAATCTCTATTTGGTTAAGAAAACAGAAACCTAGTTAGCCACTGGTGGCTCATGCTTGTAATCCTAGCTAT